ATTATAGCTTTCAATCTGTTGAAGTAATCTGCGATGTATCCTATCATAGGCTTAGTAAAAACGCACAGAAACATCTGGGCAGTTAGAACCCCACCAAGAGATGAAGCAGATAATCCTAGTCTTTCTTTTGCGAACACGGCCATGAAAGGTAATGTTCCTGCAAGGCCTGAAAAAGAAATTAGCTTCATTTAACACTTTTTATATACTTTAAAAACTTTTCATACTTTTTAAAAACTTTTCTAGCTAGTTAAAAGATATTTCTAAGAATTCACAAGCTTGACGTGAGTCGTATCTCGACGAAAATTTTAATACTTATCTTTTCAAGTTAATCACTGGTGTTGCTGATTCTGAGTGGGCCCTGTATCAAAACTACTTCGTCGCCTTTTTTTAGAAAAGAAAGCTCTGTTAGTGGTACTGTAGTTACACATGTTAGGGCCCCTGAGTCTTGGGGGCCCCGTATCATTGATACGGCTGATACGACGGTAGCTACGCCCCTGAAGTTAATATATTATATTAAAATGAGAGAGAAATCAGTTTGTTAAAGATTGTCTAATTAGGGTCAAATTTTTTACTACTGTCATTCAATTTTTAATGAAGAGTAAAGTAATAAGAAAGGCTTTTAATTGTTACTTTTTTCTCCTAAATTTTCGAAAGTATTTTTATGTGTTAACCCCGTGATATTGAACTTTCCCTTCTTTGACTAGACCTACTTCTAATCACGACCTTTTGCAGGATTCCCCGTAAAAAAATGGGAGTGAAGATTCATATTTCTGCCCATGTTGAAACTATGAAGTACCCCTGAGTGGGGATCTCTTCAATATATGCCCTGCTGTTCCAAACTGTATTTCTTTGAATGATATTGACTGTGCCTTTGATGACTGCTTTTATCGTTCTACATTGTATTGGTCTTTTCGTCGACTTATGAATAAGAGGTCGGAGACGGGAATAGGACAGTAAAAAAGAATAAAAACATAATAAACAATAACTGCATTGAGTCACACATGGATTTCATAGAAGTTCTAAGGACAAAAACAAAAAATAAATAACAACATGTAGTCTTTATCCCTGTATTGAACAGTTCATTTGAAATTAATCCATTGATTACCCGTTCTTGCCATTCCCGTTCTTGCATCACCAGAAATCCCAGATTTTTGGCGATGCTGACCTTGACGTTACGACGCAAATTTCATTTTTCCTTTTGACTCTGACTAAGCTATACGTTCGTTCGTGTTTCGTTTCACTTTCTAAAATTTCTATAACTATTCGTGTTGTTTATTTTTACTTTTTCGTGCCAATATTTCATCGTCGTTGTATTTCAACGAAAATGATACAATGAGAATATTTAACAGAAACCAATGCGGTGCGTGCTTTCTAGAATCCTACCTGATTTCTAAAGCTTCAAAATACAGCTTGCTAAGTATCTAACTTTTTTACATAAAGTTAATACTCCATGCGTTTTCATAGTCAATCGGCATCTTTATTCTCTTTCTCTACTAAACTGAATATTATAAAACATATATATTGCCAGATTACCAAAGATAATATTACACACTACGAATTGCAAAAGGTATACAATTAATCGTTTGCTATTACACCAATAATAAACAAATACTATTCATAAAATATTTTTAGAATTACCGCACACGATGTATACGACAGTGACTCTGATACTGGTGTATCTATTTGTGAAGGAGATGAAGAAATGGAACAAAAAATGACAATGCACTTATGTAACGCATGTTGAAAATCTTTTTGTTCCAAGGAACATTTCGAGCATTTTTACAAAGATTTGTAACTTTAATTCTAATTTTCCTATTTTTTCAAATATTTGTAACCCAGATATTTTGTTATTTAACTTTTGTAATTTTATACAATCCCAATAAAAGAAAATCTACCTTATAATGTTTGGTGTGCTGGTTACACTGATTGCACATCTAAGTAACCTGTGTATCCACATAAGTTTACAATGGGATTTTACCCTATATACATAGCATGTATCCACACTAGTGATTACATCAGAGGTCGCCAATGGGGTGGCCCACGAGAAAATTTCGCTGGTCCCCAGAAAAATGTGTGGAATATACTTACTCTTCACGTTAAGTATGTTTTAAAGGTGCATTAAAACATAATTTAATTCATAATAATACATAAAAGTTATAAAAACGCTACTTCATAGAATAACGCCAAGGTAAATAAGTCGCGCTGACAAGATAAAATGTGGATAACAAATCCGTTAGTTGTGAAAATCCAGGATAATAATTTAAGCATGTATCTAAAATAAAGCCTCATCAACCTATCGTCCGACGAAACTCTCAAATTTAAATTTCATTTATCCTTATCTAAATCACAGTTTTGGCTTTCCATAGAAAGTGAATACCCTTTTTCTTACTAAACCGATGATGAAAATTCTGATTCCATTCTCCACAACTTATTTATGTGAAAAGGCCTATTCATCTATCACAGCCATCAAAACACGGTACCCTTCTGATCGTGGAATATAAATGCAGTAACACAACATTGAATCCGAATATCCATAATCTTATTTCAAGTAGGCAGGAACATCCATCACACTAGGAATGTATAATGCTAAAAGTTTGATATACTTAAATCATTTTTAATTGTTTTGTTTTTACAGTTTTTGTTTATTTAACGTTTAAAAATCCTATTAGTGGACCGCGAGATTGAAATTAAGAATTGACCGGTCCGTGAGGTTAAAAAGTTGGGTGACCGCTGGATTACATGGTACTCAAGAGGTTTAACCAGCGTATTTCAAGAAACTGTGTTGTATTTTGAGAAATAAAGATAATAACTAAAACTTACCTCCAATGTATAGAAAGAAGTGAATCTTAAACCTGAGCATCTCCGGATCAATACGCCAGAACGATTTCGTCTTGACTTTTTTATCCGGCAATTCAGCAGGAATCACAGAAACGTCAACAGTTTTTCCGTTCTTCTCTACGCTCATCTTGGTTTTCGTTGTCTTTGAAATCAGCTCAGGAGAAAAAGTCTTTCCTGTTTAGATATTAATATCTTCTTTTGAAACTGAAAAATAAATGAAGACCTTAGTTATGAAAGATTTATGAATGATGGCATCGACCCCTTGCGGTCAATTTTTTTTAACCCAAATTCTTTAAAAAGAAATGCACATTTTTTTATTGTATATAACATACTAATTCCGACTTCACCACACAAAAATGTGCCGGATGAAAAGCTTTCTAGTACCACGTACAACCTACATCAACTTTTCAAAACACTAAGACTAAATAATACACCATAAGAAATAAAAATAAGCGCAAATCAAAGAAAGAAAGAAAGCAAACATGAGTACCCGCACAGCGTAAGGGCAAGTTGGTTGCGGCCAGCTTTTGGTAGCACTTAGCTGCACGGGCAAACCATTTAAGGGGTTAATTTGAATATTTATCAAGAAAATTAAAGACAAGTTCTAAAAATCAAATAAAAAGCTGTGGTTCTCTCTCTCTCCCATAACAAAAACATGGCGCCAAAGTAATCCAAAGGTAATTTAAGACTTTTCCAAAACACTCTGTTGGGAGATAGTATCATAAAAAGAAATAAAATTTTAATATTTTCGATTATGTTAACGAATTCGTTCTTAACCCCTTCAGAACCAGCGGAAGGAGAAAGAAGCGCTTCCCCAGCCCCGTGCGTTCGGAGAGGATACGCACGCACGGGACCGGTCGATTTTCCCTGCTAAGCCAAATTTCCTTTCAAAATTCATATACTGTTTTAAATGCATTCAAATACGCTAAAACTTACAATTTACTATTATTGATAATATTTGAACATGGAGAACAAATATTTTCGCTGTATTTAAAAAAAACAAACAATTGCGAATTTTACAGGAAATGTTTGCATTTTAATAAAAAGAAAATTACATACACTTTCAAAAAAATTGACAAAAATTCGATACATTTAAATGCGAATATAGAAAATATTAGAAAACTAAACCAAATTATTCAAAATATAAACAGAAATCCGTAGAGCAATAGATCACGAACCTCTAAATGTCCGATTCTCTCGAAAAATAAACACGAGTAGTTGTTTATATTCATAAATATCTCGGATCTAAAAAAAACAAGCACAAAGCTGAAAGCACATATTAAAGTTCAAAGTTTTACAAAACATTATTTGAAAAAAAACCCGGTTTTTAACCGCCATCTAGTGCTTGTAAAAATTAACATAAAAACGTTAATAACTCTGATCACACAGATGTGATCATGGGCCTACGAGGAGGGAAAGCTCAATCACATATATGATACCGTGGGCAGTGAAGGGAGAAACGCGTGATCACATACATGTGATCATGGTCCTGAACGGGTAATTAAAAATATTTTTAATTAAAACTTTCGAAGCTATTCCTTAAATTTTAGTAAAATTGAATGATTTTCAGTATTGCTTATTTATATCGAGTGATTCATATTTTTTCTATAGTTAGGAACACACACACCGCATGTGAAAGTTTCAACAAAAAGTTTCAAGACTACTTAGAACAGAAAAAGCCTTATTGAAAAATAATAAATACACAAAAAATAATGGAGATTAATAAAAGTGGACAAAAATTGAAGTCTGAGAAAAAGCACATTTAAAACTTGTAGGGACATAAGTTTTGTGTGACTCAGAAAACTTCAAATATCTTTTAACCCCTTAAGCGATAATTTTTTTACCAAAATGTTTAAAAAACAAGCAATATTGAAACAAAAATTAAGTCAATTGCTACTTAGGTCAATAAAGAAAAATTGTATTATATAGTTACTTTTTATTAAATAGTTATAATTAATATAAGTATGTATATACATGAGACAGAATCAAAATATTAAGGAACAAAATAAAAAGTGATTTTTCTTGCAATTTCTATATTTCCCTTTCTATATAGGGTGTTGGACTATTTTTTGTTCATTTGTTTCTTTTTATTCATTAATTAAATTTAATTGTTCTAATAAAAGAATACAGTAAAAAAGAAATCACATTCTCGGAAAATGGGCCATCCCAGGTGGGATTTGAATCCACTACCTATGGATTAGAAGTTCATTACGCTATCCATTGCGATACAGGGACACAACGAACAATTTTCCTTTCTGTATATGCTGTTGGACTATTTTTTGTTTGTTACTATTTATTCATTTTTTAATTTAATCAATGAATTAATATTTGAAAAAAAACTGTATTAACATCATGTGTCATCCACTACAAGTTTAAAAAAATGTATTTGAACTTAAATGGATGAATAAAAAGTATTTTATTATTGATTGAAAATTTGAACAAGATATATATATATACATACATGTATGTATAGGGCAGGGATGGAGAACCAGTGGCACGCGACACAATATTTTTGGCACGTCAGTGATGAAAATGGTTTGCATTTTCTTTTTCAAAATTTGAAAGTTCACTACAAAGTATTACGAACAAACGCGAGTGATCGGGAAGACACTAGTTTGTTATTGTGTTGCATTAGTCACGTTGTAGACTACAATTGCTTATGATGTTAAGTTTGTCTACGCATAGCACAGTCAGTTTCATTGACACAACTGTTTAAGTTTACCTGTGTTATATTTACTCTTTAACAGAAGTCACACTAAGGTTACTTTAATTTGAATGACACGAATAACTAAAACATTTATAACTGTACAGCACAAAAAGTATTTTTTCGTAGTAAACAGAGTTTTGTGTTATTCGTACTTAGTTTTACCATTTTCCCAATAATCGCAAGTCAAAATAATTTGACGGCACGTCTATACGTCACTGGACACTTCTTTGGAAAAAATGGCACGTGGATCTTTAAAGGTTCGCCCCCTGATACAGGGAGAGAGTGAACTAATAGTGGTAGGATTGAAAAAGGGCACCTATTTCTTTATTGTTTATAACCAAACACCATACTAATTCCCACCTTCACCAGAAAAAAATATGTGGCGCGAAAAGTATTTCAGTACCTTAGACAAATTGCATCACCTTTTCAAAATACTAGCACTAAATACACTATAAGAATTAAAAATAAACAGAAATCAAAGAAAAAAAAAGAAAACATCAGTGTCCGTACAGCATCGTTTCTCAAACTGTGGGGTGTGCCTCCCGGGTGGGGGGTGATAACCCTACTTGAGGGTTGCGAGCATATGGAAAAGTCGGAAAATATAAGATTTATAAAATAACTATGAATTTACTGATAGGAAGGAAAACAAAACACATTTTGACATCATAAAAAATAAAATACACAATCACTCATGTGCTTATAAATTTATCAGTACTGCACAAAATGTGTTTGATAATTAACTTATCATTACTAAATTAAAAACAAGTTTAGTCATTACTAGAGACGCCCATGGGCCTGTCATATACAAAAACTAATAATTATTTTAATAGCTTGTACAGTTTAAAATTAAAGTCGCCTTGTAGCTTTAACGTCAAAGTACATTATTAATGCATTGAATACACTGTTATTGTAAGAGGGGAGGGGGGGGGTGGAGGGAAATTATGACTGAAAATTAGGTCGCCAATATTGAGAATTCAAGCACTACCGCACAGCGCACGGGCAAAGTAGTTGCGGCCAACTTTCGCTAGTTCGTTGTACATCACTTAAGGCGTTAAACTAATTAGATATAATATTTAGAATTTTGAGCCGAACTTCCCAGAGGGATAAGGCACAGAAAAACATAATTTATTTTTAATATATTTATTATTTTTAAGATATTATATTTAACCATAAATAAAAAAAATATTATTATAAAAAAGAGGAATAAAACTATCCCTTACCTGAAAGAAGTTATTACGTCTTTTTTTCCTTTTTTTGGCAGAATTAGCTCTACGTTGATAGTTATTTATTTTGTATATACGTGAAGTTACTTTGTTTCGACGAACGACGCAACTCGTTCACATTTTAGTCTCATGCTTCTTGCACCATCGCACCAAAGAACTTTCATATCTTTATTTAAAGTAATAAATGTCCAAGTATCACAAAAATGACATTTCGAATCATGCTAATCTAATGCAATAAATGTGTCCTGCCATTGTTCTTAATGACAGAATTATGTATGCATGATATAACGGGCTGAAATATGTTTTTTAACCTGCTACCGTTTGCCTTGAAGTAACATTTTTTTTCGAAACTTATTTACATTTTACTCTAGTCAAACAAAAATTAACGAAGTCATCCTTACACCAGAAAAGAAAAAGGAAGCTTCTTTAAGGTAGTGTCTAGGACATAGCTGAATAACTCTAGGATTAAAACTGAAGGCTTACACAACACTGTATTCAGGGTCTTACAACACTTGATGATGGTCTCATTTCACTATCGTACAATTTATAGCAGTGATTTCCTACACTTTATGTAACTATGAACGGTTTTTTTTCCTTTTTAACATTATAAAAATGGAAAAAAAAACTCCATTGGATTTTGATTTCTGGTTTATAAATATAAAAACCAGCCCCACTCCAACATGTTCCCCCATGTATGGGGGAAGATGCCATCAGTCATAGAGTAACATGCAACATCATAGTAAATAAAAAAAATAAGGAAAACACTACGCAATTAAATATGAAATAACAATAACTATAGAAAAGTTTTAAAAAAGTTAAATTCTTTCATAATTAGTTTGATAAAAATACAAACAGTACAGGTTCGAATGATAGCCTACGCGACATTTCACTCTGTGCAAATGATTATCATTGCAATCTTCGTGCAACCATTTGTTGCATTCGATGCACTGAATCCAGTCACACTTGGGACATTTTTCGCATAAAGGTACCCTTTATACACTGCACAAAAATCGTCTCAATATTATCCTCATCAAAACTGTCACCACTAGTATCTAGAGGAATTTATTCTCTTCTGGATGACAAACTGACATGTCTCTTTTTCTTCTGTTTCTTCGAAGGTTTCTTGTTATTTGTTTTGACCTTAGCCGCCCTTTCTAGCTTTCTTCCGGCCTTTTCCCGCATAGTTGCTCACATCTCTGATTCAGTTAAGACTTCCGTGATGTTAGTTTTCTTACGCCGGCTTGGTTTACGTTTACTGACCAGAGGAATTGTACTGTGCTCTCGTGTTCTGTACTGGTGAGGCAACCGATGGTGATAGATCACTTATCATAAATTGCATTTATGTATTATTAATTATGTAATAATTAGTAATTGTATTTATATTTTATACAATAGTATACATTGTTAACAAACTTTTTTTTTAAAAAAAGAACACATTTTAAAGTTTATTTAATTTATTTCTGAATCATGTGGCGTCTTCCCCCAAGTATAGGGGGAAATGCCACACACGCTGATTTCCTTACTTGTTACAGTGTTATGGCCGCCTCTACACGCATCATACGTGTAACATAATGTGTAACTCACTTATATTGCTAATGTCTTATTTAAAATAACAAGTACGTTTTTATAAACTTTAAATATGAGGAACGGAATATTATAAAAGTGGTACTCAAAACTTTAAATGTTCACAAGATCCAAAAATAAGGTCGATGTAAGACGATTAAGTCAGATAATTTCACAAGCCTCACTTAGTGTCGCACCAGACTCTTCACACAAGTGGCCCAATATTGCTATCTATCGACGCATAAAAGTATTATTAACAAACTGGCAACTTCCCCCGAATTACCTTATTATTGCAAATTTATATTGAAAATTATATTAAATCATAACTGAATGTGATTTTCTCATCGTTCTTCGATATTTTGTAGCTAGAAAATAATTTTAAAAATCAAACCAAGGCATGAGTAAGTTACTAAATTGGTAATGTTAAGGAACTATTGTCGATATCAATTTTGTACATGCTATTTCTAGATAACAACAGTAGCAAAGCTTTCTATCGCTAAAAAAGCCTGCTAAAAGCATTTATTATATACAAAATACCCTTTCCTGTGACAGGCATTTTTAAAAGCCATTTTTATAACATATCTAATGGAGTGGCTATTAAACCTGCATTCTCAATAAACTAACTTAAAATGTTGCATATGCAGAAATGCACTTCAACCCTCATGATCTTATTTTAAACTTTTCTACCTTTTCTCACTTTTTTCCAAGCAGTTAGTTAAAACTTTCTTCCAATAACCCCACGCATTTATTTAAGAGGTAACGAGTAACAGACTTAAAAATAATATTCTCCTTAATCCTTTCTATTAAAGAAATTCATCCCTTCTCTCTTCGTTCCGTCGAGATGTGGCAACCGGTCGAAAGACGTGTTTGGTTGTCATGGACGTCATTTTCTCATCACTCTTCTTCAAAGGTGAACTGGTAGAGTGGTTTCCCACTCCCTCACCACCAGCGTTCCTGCGCTGCTCTCAATGTGAACTGCTATCTAATTTTTTGTAACTTCAACAAATTCTTCTCTTTTCGCAAATAATTCTAATGAGTGGATAATAGAACTTTCTCTAAGGTTTCACATAAATGTATAACCGTTTCCGTTACCTTTATATAGTAATACCTCGACTCACGTAATTTTTAAATCTCGTAGATTCGTGTTTTCTTTAAGCAATTTTTAAGCACCGCTTCCTGAAATTGGTAATGCGATTGAAGATGTCGAACTTAACAGGCAAAGAAATTTAGAAGTGGATAGTGATGACGTTCAATAACTACTGGATTCCCCAATCGGGAGGTGACAATTGATCCACTCATAGAAATGCATGAGCAAGAGTGAGATATCTTTAAGCTGAGTTGAGTCTAAATGCTGTTCAATCAGAAGAACAGTAGGAAATTTGACAAAAGGGGCTTCAGTTTAATTGAAAAAGGGTTGCCAATTTTAGAAAGTATAAACTTTAACGACTAGCGTATTTTTTCAACAAAACAAGGAATGAAAACATTATTAGCATACTAAGAGGAGATATTGTGGGAGAAAAAAAACCTTTGAGTAGGCAGACTACTTTGTTAAATTTTGCGAAACCTTCTACATCAAAGTAACTTCGGTTTATGATTTTACATTTGTGTTATCTAAGGTATTATTAAACACATCCCCTCCCCTAAATTATTATTTTCTTTCGTCTCCATCTGCAACTAAAAATAATTTGTACTTGTTTATATGCAAAATTATACCCCGATTTATGCGATCCCTATCTCGTAGG